GACACATATAAAAAGACTTTACTGATCAACAGCTATAAAAGTCAGCTAGAAAGCATATTAAACAGTATCCAGTGAAATCTGTAGCTCATTTATGCTAAAATATTCTTCTGAGTATTTTTATGACCATCATGTTTACAGACATAAAAATATATAAATCAAATTTCTAAACCAAAACAAAGAGCAATGGACTTAGGTTGCTAAAGAATTATGGATTTCCAATAACTGCCTTTTATGTGCACACTTTGGCAAAACCACATCCAAGGACGTAAACAATAAGATACAGTAATATCTGCTATGGATTTGGAGGATATAAAAAGAACACGATGATACAAATGCTATATTAACAGCATTTAGCAAATGCTATCTAGTTGTGTTTCAGATAAATTAAAAATATTAACTAAATACTTTATAAGATGATTGGTGAATTAATTATATCATCTCCATTTTCTTACTGGAAAATGGAGGCACACAGAGAGGGAAAGTGTTGTGCCCAGGAATATAGCAAATCCAAATCAGGACTGAGAGAGCATTCCTCAAGTCTCTGCTGGTGTACCTTTCTTCTTAATCCACTTCTCCATACCATTTGTTTCATTACAGTGATTTCCTCCCAATAAATTAAAAACATCTATCAAAAGTTTTATTTTTTTCCCAGAACTTCATCTCCTAATATAAACTATTTTAAAAATGAGCAGAATGAGAACAGGCAGGTAGCATGAGACTACTCTACTACTTCCCATTCTTCCCTAAATTTATGTTAATATGCACAGATATGAGAGAGGAACTCCTCAGGAGGCTGGAGTCAAAAAATAAGACACAGCTGTCCTTCCAGGATGTATGTATCATAGTTATTTTTATATCAACGAAGGTCTGAAGATGAGGGAAGTGGAACAGTATTTTTCCCCTCTGTTAAAGTAAAATAAAAACTCAAACATCTGCCATCTCAAGTCAGTGCCCCGACTGTCACAAAACTTTTAAATGAGCCTGGACTAATGCAAGACCCTCACCCAGCCAGAATGGTCACCTGAACTTTGTCAAGTGGCTTAAAATTATTTCAAGAACATAGTACAGCAAACTTTTCCATCAATGCAAAGCCAGCTGCACAGTACAGGGTTAGTTGGGTTGGGTTTGGGGACAGGGTGGAGGGGTGTTTGTTTTGGGCCTTTTGTAAAGAACAACAACAACAAAGTCATACCTAACATATCACCAAATATCATAATTCCTCCCTGCCCCCTCAACCCTCAAGAAGTTAATACTTGTTCAACGCGCAAACCGCAAACTTATCAGTTCTATGGTTTTAGTTAAAATTGTTCAGCCAGCATCACTTGCTAAGAGCACTGGCATTCTTGACAATGTGAAACCCTGAACAAGGAAACTCTGAAATACCAACAACAAAAAGCCCCAAAAAATCAGGGGAGAGAAAGAAAGAGAGAGAGAAAAAAAGAACTAATTTCCAGTGACAGTGTAGTCTTTCATCTTAAGCCCTGCATTGAACTCTACCTTGTTTAATTATTAAATCAGAAGCTGCTCAGCAAGATCTGTCTAGTTTTGATGGTTCTTAAATTCAATCTTGCTGACAGACTGTGTCCATTTTTCTCTGTATTTACTCTTACCTATGACATGATCTGAATACTAATTTTTAAATTCAACATTCATTAATAAAGGAATAAATTTTTTTTGGCATTGTCTTTTCACTCATTCAATTTTCTTCATACACCATCCTGATAAAAAGTACAGGCTGCTTTTTTGAGGATACTTGTTAATTTTTTTTGCTTTTTACATCATTTATATAACAGGCACAAAATCCACATTACACCTGCTTACATGTTTCTAATTATTCTAGGAAAGAAACACAATACATTAAAATAATACAATAGTTATTTTTAAAATCCTTTTTATTTGCTCTTTAATCTAGCAGAAGCAGTTGAACATTCAAAGAGGAGGTGGGTAAGTAAGAAGTCACATGTATCTACAAAAACAGATGTACTACATAAAGCCTTTTTTAGAGTCTACAAACATCCAGAGGCAAAAGTTCCACTAACTTGAAACAAAAAGAGTGAGAAATGCTAGAAACAGTCCTTCAATACAACTATATATCTGTGTAATATTCATTGAAGGGCTGTACTTCGATGAATTTTACCCAGGGCGGGGAAATCCTTGGCTGGACTGGCTGCAGGACACTATTCTCTCCCAAGATAGAACCACATTGCACTATCAAAAATATTTCTCAGCTCAAAAGAATTTATGTACACTTTTGCACAAATGCATGAAATTTGAAAAATGCAAGAGACACTCGCTGTTGTGTCATATTTACAAAGAACTTACAGTTGACTTCATCTGTTCCAAATAATCTTCCTCCATTTTGCTAAGACGAGCATTGGTGTCCTCAAGCAGTTCCTGCATATCTTCTGTGTGCTTCTTCCGAATATTAAACTTCTCCTTCTCCATCTCAGCCACAGCATTGTGAAGCTGCATCACAAAAATATTACCAAATAATAAATGGCACATAAAACTAGCATTTATAAGTATTTTATTATTACAGCATATAAATAAAATAGCTAACAAGCACAAGCCACAATTCTGTCCTCTATAACAAAGCTAGATCATTGTCTCACTAAGTAGGTCTACTGTGACTCTCTAAAGAGGTAATGTAGAGGTCATTTAAAAATGTATAGAGGGCATAACATATCCTTACAGAACACTAACACACATACATATTTTTGCCATTCTCTGCTATTCTGTTTGTTTACATATTTAAACTGAACACCAATAACTGCTGCACAGAGTTAATGAATTTCTATTACAGAAACACTAACACTCTCTCCAGATACTTACGCTGCCAGCTTATCTGCCTCTCAATTTGTAAGAAGCTGGAGAGCCTTGACTATCTACTTGTCTAATAAAAGGATTATTTGTGTCATTACTAACCCTTGATTTATATTCTAAACACCAGTGGCCTCCCTTTCTAATTAAGCAGCCTGAAATCTAAATTTTCTGTCTACACAGTAGTAGAGAATAATGTCAAGTCAAATTAGCATAAAAAACTTGGATGGTGTATTGATTGTATAACAGCTATTACATGTTTCTCAAGTTTCTAACAAATCCGTTTCACAGCTGAAGAAGAAAGCTGTAATAAACGAAATAAAAGCATCACTCCAAACACACTGCTAAAATCAGGTTAATTTGCACAAGTATAGATTTTTCTCTCCCACATATAGATTAGCAAAATCATGGAGATATCTGTGAGTCTGGGCCATGACTTAATGGATTTCAGCAGTGTGCAGTAACTTAACATAAAATTTTTCATCCAAAAGATAAAAATGCTAATAAATTATTATTATAAGTATCATGTATATGTGGTGTTCAGAAGATTTGCTGAATTTGAGATACTTTTAAAAATAATCTGGGAAAATAAATAAATAAATATTTAATCTCCAGGTGCATAAGATATAAATAAACCAAAAAATTCTTGGAATGTCTCTATCTCCTGTACAACAGATTATAGTAATACTTGCATTATTGTCAGCAACATCTATTCAAACAACCTGCATCTATTCAAAGGAAAAAATACACAGAAGTAGTAGTACATGAAGTTATAAAAACATTGCACTGTTAGCCTTTACTATATTTCCCTCATACTTCCCACCATCCATGTTTTTCCACAAGATATGTGCTCTGATTTCACTTCTATCATTTCATTAATTTAAAATTGATATTAGCAGTTTAATTTGTTTTCTTGTTTACACACTGGCATCACTGATGACAGTTACAGCTGTAAGAACAGCACTTGCTAGGTACCTTCAGAAAGTGGGATGACCTCAGGCTGAAAATAAAGCTTCTCTAAAACAAAACAAAAAAACCCACCCAACACTGAAGCCTCAAGGTCTTAAGCACAAAGGACAAGATTCATCTCTTACAAGATAAGAATGAAAACCAACAGCGCTTCCAGATGCAGGGCTGCAAAAAAACTGAATTAAACAGCATACTTCATATACAAAGGGAGGTGGTTTTGCCCTTTTTGTGGCCCTCCCTCTCCTGAGAGGGGTAAGCAAGACAAACACTGACAATAAACTGGGCAAAGGTGAAGCTGTCTTGCAATAAACATGCTTTTCTCTCTGCTTTGCTGCTGTCTTGAATCTTACAATAAATTAATATGCATTGAAGAATTCGTGACCCAATGCAAAAATAATAGTTCAAAGGAATCACCGTGGCAGCAGGTAGCAGCAGGTTTACCGAGATTAAAATTCCATGTCAGGTCAACCAGAAATAAGCACTTCCCTAACACATCCAGAGACTTGCCAACAGGGTCAGATGAACCTCAGGAACAGAGGGACCAGCTGGTGGGTGTGGGTGTGCAAGCAGCAACAAAAAGAATCTTGCAAGATTACTCCAGAAAAAAAAAATCAGCATAAGAAAATATCACTAAAAGTAACCAACTCCTTCTATAATTTTTTTTTTTTAAGTGACAAAATGTATTATCGCAGGTATACGCTGTAGGAGTCTTCCAAAGAAAGCAGGTATTAGTCATTACCCTTTTCTCCCACTCATTGTTCAGAGAATCATTGCTTTGCTCGCACATCTTCTTTAACTCCACAATCTGCTTCTCTTTTGCTTCTCTGACGACTTGTGACTCACGGACAAGGGTCTGAACTGTCAAAAACAGGAAAATAAACAACCATTCAAGAGAGACCTTTGGGATTTTTCAGTGTTGGCAACAGATGCAATCAGATTACATCAGTTTTCCAATTGACCTGGCTTTCTGATGTTTTTTGGCACTCAAAAATACTTGATGCATGTGCTCCTTTAGATTTTAGCACTTAGATTCTGTGTCACTAAAATATTACAAGGTATTCTCTCATCTACTTCATTTACAAAATATTTCATAGTGTTTTCCTTACTGAAGCAGTAAACATACATCAAGAGAATTCTGTAACCTAAAGAAAACAGGCATTTTTAACCTAATTTTCTGTGCATCCTTAGGAGGAAAGGTTCTTGTGAAGGTTGAATGCCCAAGATACACAAGGAAATTAAGTTGCCCAACTTAAACTGCAAGTGATTGCATGAAGAATTCAGTGTCTGACAAACTTTGTGGAAAACAAAGCAGGTACCTATTCACTTTTCAAAAGTGACTGATGATTTTCACTGGCAAGAGTGTAGATGACTCCAACACAACCCGTTACAGCTGAGCGCAACCACCAGCCCACCAACAGAAGCACCACATCCCTTGCCAGACAATTTACTTTACCAAGGAGCAGGAAATAATATCTGTGCAACTCTCTCCCTTTTTGTACGTAGATTACCAAACCCCTGTATTATTTTTACACTGTGGTTTAGTCCATAGTGTAAATGGACTCCAAGGAATTCTAAACTAACATTCAAAAACTGCTGACAAGCCACACTCAGGCCAAGTTTTGTACTTATGACATATTCAAGACTGCTACTCATGTTTGAAATCTCTTGCCGCAATAGTCCTAAATAAATAATACATTGTGGTTTGATTAAAATGTACTGAATGTATAAATAAATTAACCTTGAGCCAGAGATTCCACAAAGTTTGAAATAAGTGGCCAAAATACTTCGGTATCATCAAAGAAACTGCTTTTGGTGACGCTTATAAAACTTGTAAGTATTAAATACAACATGATCACACTGCCTCTTGGAAAATTTGGTTTGGAAACTGGACAGCAAAGGCAACCAGACAATCCTCTAAAACCCTAAAGGAAAAAATTAGGTCAAGACCTGCAAATGAAAAGGAAAGGGACATCTGCACCTAGAAGGAATACGTAAGCCCATAGCCTCGAGAAGGATGCAGTACAATATCACCACGCAGAAAACAACAACTGTGAATATAAAAATCACCTTTTTTCTCCAGTTTTCTAATCACGTCCTCAGCTTCATTTTGTTTGTTTTTGTAGAGAGACTTCAGTACCTCTATTTCATCATTCTTTCTATCCAAAATCTGTAGGGA